AGTATGGTCACTTCGTTGTTAAGAGTAGATTTTTCTGTCTCACATTGGTCAACCTGAATATCCATAATCATCCAATCCTAAACGCTGCCAATACGCCATTATACGGTAGCTGTAAGTTAGAAACACGTTCAGTAAGTTCTGTGGTCGTCCGGAACACGTCAAATACGTCTATACATACGTCAATATGCGTTGGAGATAAGTTACACATAGGTTCAAAGCACGTTAATCGTAGGTTAGAAATGAGTTTTGGGTACGCTAGACATTATCTCGACGTATTTCGACTTATGAGTAACTTTTACAAGTAACGTGTGTGAACGTGTGTCAACGATCGCATAACTTACCTACAACTTATGGCCCGCGTATGCGGGACGTATGGGCATACGTTGGCATACGTCGGAAAATTTTGAGCATGCTCAAAAATTTTCGACGACCTCGCCGTACTAGGACGTATACCAGTGTGCTTCAGCGTGCTTCAGCGTGCTTAAGCGAGCTCTTAACTTATACAAAACTTACCCATAACTTATTCGACGTACGCCAGCGTATTCGCCAAATTTTTCATGCACGTCGGCATACGCTGGCTAAATCGTCAATGTGTGACAGGGCCATAATTTCTTGCTATTCTATTCTTACAACCCAGATGTAAGTTTTTATTCCTCGGTGCATGTAACGCAGCGACAACGTCGTCGCTGTATTTGGGACATATAATCACAACATCACTACAAAAGACTGACGTTACATTTTGATGTAGCATTGGTCGTTAATATAGCCCCGCTTGAAACGAATTAAGAAGAATTTCGCAGTTTAGAAAGTTACATGGACTATAACATTGCACGCTGGATAGGTACTTCGGCGTTAAAAGCTATTGAGAGTTAATGTTTTCTTTACATATTTTCTTTACATAATTTCTGTTTTTCTTTACATAATTTCTGTGCTGTGCCGGTATTGCTGATTTCTTGACAACCCGATGCTTAAGTTTTTATTCCTCGGTGCATGGTAACGCAGCGACAACGGTCGTCGCTGATTTTGGACATATAATCACACAGTCACGTAGCAAAAGAACTGACTGTGTACATTTTTGATGCTAGCATTGCGTCGTTTAATTATAGCCAGGCTTTAAGACTGAGATTAAGAAGCAATTTGCGCATGTTTAGAAAGTGGTTACATGGAGCTATAACATTGCCCCGACGCGTGGGATAGGCTACTTCGGCGTTAAAAGCTATGGAGGTTAATGTTTCTTTACATATTATCTAGTGCATCACTGAGAGATACGAAGGTATACCAGATAGGGCCAGCGCTAGTGCCTGTGCCTGTAGCCAAACCGCTGCCGTTCGAGCCATCCACGCCCCCACGATGGCCCAACGTTCCAGCAATCGGTGGTCATCCTTCTGCCAGGCCGGCAAAAGCGCGTGCCTCAGGTAATATAATTACGGAGCGTTTTTGTCAGTGCCACTTACTTCGGAGAGTTAGCGCGGACGTACGGTTGAAGTTTTGTAATTGTGCCGCGGATTATGATTTGATCGTGATATAAGTACACGATGATAGAGATTATACCGCAAGTGTCTGATATTCGCCTGATTATTGTTGGCGTTTTCTCGCAGGAAGATTGGAGGCGATGCTGAGACGTCCTACAAAAAAGTGGTATACGTGTCATTGTCGGTACGCGTGTATGCGACGGAACGGAAAGGAGTGGATGAGTACGCTTCGCGCTATTTGCGCCACTGAAATGTCGCGCTTCATTGACCCTTCAACCGACACCACTTCTAAGCCCGTTTCGCTAATGCAACGTGCGTTATTTTAATGAGCTCTCTCGAAGCCTTACAGTCGGCGCCGCTTAGCATAGCGAGCTTGTTCTTTGCAGCAAGGCTAGTCAAAGACCTCAAGGGTTTAATGATGATCGTCAAGGCCTGCAAGTTCCTTGCTGCCCATGATACTGCGGACCCGATACGCAGCGTTGTTGCCAGGGTTGCAGTTAGCAGGGTTGCAGATAGCAAGGTTGGAGATAGCAGGAGTGCAGGGATAGCAAGGTTGCCAGAGAGCCAGGGTGCGCAGATAGCAGAGTTGCAGATTAGCAGGCGTCGCCGAGATAGCCCAGGGTTTTTGCCAGGATAGCCAGGGTTACAGATAGCGAGGGTTGAGGGTTGCAGTAGCGGCCAGGGTTGGCAGATAGCAGGGTGCATATAAGCCAGTGGTTACAGATAGCAGTTGCAGGCGTTGGAGAGTGAGCAGGGTTGCCAGATAGGCAGGTTGTGCAGATAACAAGGTGCAGTAGCAGGTTACAGAGATAGGCAGGCGGTTAAAGATAGCGCCAGGGTTGCCAGATAGCAGGGTTGCAGATAGCAGGGTTGCCAGAGTAGGAGGGTTGCAGGAGCGGATCACAGAACTTGAAGAGGGTGGGGTGCCACTCCGAGTCAACGAAGTTGCTGAGCCCGCTTGGCGGAAGGTCCGAGCGAACCCACGGAATATGTTTCTAATTAAAACCTGCGTAGATGCAAGTTTCGCTATGTATCTAATAGGTCTTTGCTCCTAAAAAAAAGTCACGCGAGATCGTTTGAAGGCCAAACGCATATTCATTACATACTGTATATGATATGTCAGGGCCGCGTTTAGATAAATGACAAGATTGGTCATAATTATTTTATACTAACATTTTTGTTGTATAACATGTGTTATAGCAATTTATTATAATGTAACCCATCTATCTGTTATAGGTGTGTTCCAATTTGTCATAAATTATATATATATATATATATAATATATCTACGACCGAAAGGGTTTTTGCTAAGCAAAATCATTAGAGGCGCACTGCGCCGCATTTTTAAATCGCCGCCATGTGTTGTGGTTAATTGTCTGTTAGGTTCAAGTTGTGGACGCTTGGTATGTGTTTTCTCGGCGCTATTTTTAGAACAAACGGTTTTTTATGGATGGGCTCGTTCGCGTGCTGTCGACTTAACCTTCCGTATTCATCTTCTG